GGTGCGAGGCGGGCGCGGCTGCCCGGGAGGCCGCCCGCTGCCGGTCCCTGGGCTGCGGTCAGCACCGCATGGAGAAATAGCGCGTTGCCGTCTGATTAAAGGCGGCATTAAACTGCTGGTGCTGGGAGCCTGCACTTGGCGGGTCTCAGCGCAGGCTTGGCACTGGCGTTTTCTCATTTGGAGTGCTACCATAAATTGCTTTATAGGTGATAGTAGCTTTGTCGTACGTACGTACGTCATCTAATGAAGTCATGGCCAAGTCAACAGGTGCTTCACAGGGACTTTACAGCAACAGGGGCGTCTCTCGCTGCCGTTTAATACGCGATGTACTGTGCGCATACACCGTATTCTGTAACTAACAATAAGATGACAGGTAAGAACTGGTTACGTTCAGTGTGTCCCACAATCCGCCGTGAGCCATTAACAAATCTTTACAAACACATTCAGTTTCTTGATTCACCTTAGTGCACTACATGGTTGTGCGCAGCCTCTTGTACCTGAAGGAGCAGAGCATCCTCGCTTCGTGGTGTTGGAGGCGAGAGTTGATGGAGTTATTTTCGAATTTTTTTTAATCTCCTGTTATTTACTGAAATTTACTTGGTTTGTTTTCTTGTTAAGTCCTGGCTTAATTTAACCTGGACTTAAGTTGAGGGAAAACAGTCTTTTTACATGGCTTTATGGAAGTTAGTGGATTTAAAAATGCTGAAACATATAGTATTGTGATTAAACCATGCTCAAGAGTGATGAATATAAATATGTAGAGGCGTGAACATAATTTATGAATTGCTATAATAGATAAGCAGGGATGGATTTTTTTTTTCCTTTAATGGTTACAGTTGTAGGCTAGTTTATCAATTCAGTTAATATTCTTTTTTTTATCCTGCATTTAGTAGAGCAAAGAAAAAAACAGCATTCTCAAGGTATTTTGTGTGTGTAACTGCTCGCGTGTGGTATTCCTGGGATGACCTGCGTGTTTTTCAGAGTTGCAGCTGGAGGATGCGAGGTCCCAGGCAGGGCTGGGCATGGGCACGGGCACGGGCACGGGCAGGGGTTGCGGCGGAGGGAATAGCAATAACTGGGCTGGTTGCGGTTCAAATCACTCAAGAAATTTCCTTTTTCAAACAAATGGCTTGGAAATCTTGTTGTATCTCTGCTTTCAGGCTGGTGGCCTAATCCTCAGGGGTATGGAAACGAGCTCAGGCTTCCTGAAGAAACTAGTGTGGGCTTAATGCTTATTGCCCTCACCGTCCCTCCCCCGGCATTCGTAGCTGCTCGGTTGTCCCCGCAGGTCCCGACAGGCGCAGTGGGAGCGAGCCCCCGTGTCCTGCCCCGGCGTGGCTTTGCTGTGGCAGGCGAGCTGAGGTCACTCGTACCCAGCCCAACGCCCTCCGTGGAGCACGGCCCCCGCCGCCACGCTCGCGCCACAGGAGCTGAGAGGCAGAAGCGCCGCGTCCCCGCCGGAGAAGGAGTGAGGCCGTTCCCTGGGCATCCTCGCAGCATCATGACTCTCCAGGTAAGCAATTCGGCATCTGGTGAGACAGAGACGCAAGGAGAGGAGAGGGAGGGATGCATTGTCCATCTGTGCAATGCCGTGTTGGAGACAGCGATATTTCTTCAGCGTAAGGATTATTACTGCAAAATCAAGGTTACCTTTCCGAACAGGAAATTTGCCTAAGCCTTTGGAGGTTAAACAATGCATTACTTTTCGCAGATGGAGAGTGAGACACATGCTGCTTATTTTGAACTATCCATAGGTCACGTAATTTTTTGGAGCCTTAACCTGTTTAGAGCATGCATGAATTATTTTTCTTTACGTGTGTATCTGAGTTTGCTAGGACTGGATTGTGCATTGAAAGGTAGGTACATATTTATTTTTTTAGGATCTAGCTAGTTACTTGGAGCTATAAAAAGAGGAGGGAAAGTTCTAACACTGAAGCAGTGGTGTATGTGCATTTGGGAAGCATGAATAATTTTTAAGGGAGTTGTGCATTTTTTTTTAGGGTGTGTGCATCTTTGGAGTGGTACATTTTGATGGGCTTGTGTTTTGGTAGGAAAGCTTCTACTTTCTACCTTCTGGCTAGAGAGAGCTTCCTTCTACCTTCTCTCTGACTACAGATTTAAATAGTTCTTGAGGAAATTATCTTCATTGCTGGCATTTAGCCTCCTACCTTTGTAGTAAACTATGCATACTTCCCTTGTCTTGCCCATGCCCTGGTGGATTAGGCTGTTTTTCTTCATTAGGCTTTCTATTATCCCTTTCACTTCAAGATTTGCAAGCCCTTTTATCCCGGTCTCATTATAATGTCTGTCTCAGCTTGTTTAGCATGCGTGTTTTGCAAAGAGCGAGCAACATAATGCACTGACCTAGATGCAGGGAGTGTATTGCCAGTAGCTCAGCAATTTTCTTCTGAGCTGCAATTATGTCGAACGGCACAGAGGTTTCATTGTGGTATTCTACAGCTAAGAGGAAGAATCCTATTTCTTCAGTGGGTCGGAATTGCCAAATCCCAAACATAACACCACCTTTGTTTAATTAGTGATCACTGAGATTATAGGGGTTTTTTAATTCTGCCTTGAATTCACTCTAGAAAATAAATTTATTAGCCTGATGATTAAGCAATGAGCCATAAATAATTATTAGAAAGAGCTGAGTGCAGTATGATATGCCATTCCATTGCTGTATACAGTTGTACTTTCACGTAAAAATCAGTCGTTGAAATATTAACGATATCCTATGCATTCTGCATTAGACATGATAGAGTTTTTCTATCCACTGTCGCTTTGGTTGACAGCTACCATCCATATCCATAAAAATTCATTGAATCAAGCTGGGAATGAGGAGAAAATGAATAAAATACTGTTTTCGTCAGGGAGGCTGTAAAAGATCTGTAAGTTTTGCAAACTGGTAAAATATTCTGCCGTAAATGAAGAATTCATTCAAGCTTTTTTCTTTGCAAAAAGGGAGTATGTGATAATAGTCTGATGATTTGTGCATTTATCTTTAATGCATGTGTGTATGTGTATGTTTATGTCTGTATATACACTTATGCTTTTAATTTGAGGAATTAAAGGGAATTTTATCGACACATGATTAAAAGGAAATTATATTTTTATAGGCTGCTCCTAAGCATGTTGTGTAAGCAAGCAAATCCTAAGCAACAGTCTGTGCACAATGATTGGCTAGAGGGAGATGAAGAAAGAAATGTTTAGTATTTAAATTTCATTTCTGCATATTTCTTGCTGTGTAAGATACACATTTGCATACTTTTAGAACAGTATCTTGTGATACTTGCCTATAGATCCAAATAGAATAAAAGTATATGAAGATAAGAAGCTTATTAACTTAATGGTTTCTTTTCTTAATTTATTTTTTTGAGTTATCTTTTGTCTTGTACAAGTCTAACAACGCTTCTAGTTCACTCTTACTGGGAAGTTTAGATCAGAAAAATGATTCAAGGCATGCGGAAGATTTCCACTGACTTGAATGGTCCTTGTACGTCAGTGCTGGCAGAGGCTCACATGCAGTAGTGGACACAGTATAAAGATGAAGATAGAACTTATTTAAACTTTAATCAATTGTGGCAACTCAGTTATCTTTTATTGTTGATACCACTTCTTAATCTTACTGTTAACAGAGCATGAATGCTGCTTTTGTTTGTACGAGTATGGATAATATTACAAGATGTCTGTGATGTAGGAGTCAGTGATAGGTATAGTCAGGAATATCACTGGTGTTTGGATTAAGAATGAAATATTTATTTTAATAAAATATTACCTATAAAAGAAATCTTAAGAGTGGTGGGCCATCACATTTATTTTCGTAAGTAAACGTACATCCCTTTTATACATCTGTACCAACAGTGTGAGTGTAAATGCTTTGCTTTTAGGAGTGTCAAAGATATACGGTTCCAGTTTCTTTGGGACGTTGTTTTTAATTCAGTGATAAGTTAGTTGCGTCGCTGATTTTGTTTCCCTTCGTTGAGCGCTTCTCCATAATAAATGCTATACATCTATTAAAAATACTGTTGTTAGTGCATATGTGGACATGTGTTTTTGCATAATTAGACTACAGTTTTGATACCCGAGTACAAAACTCCTTCGTATCCTAATGCTGCGGTGTCTGAAACG